AAGTAAATACGGGGGCAGGATACAGAAAGAGGACTTAAGGTGGAAGACACTCAGGGACCAGAGAAGGCTCAGGAAGGAACCGAAAACTGAAACCTGACCAAAGGCTATAAATTGTAGTGGTTATAGAGCCAGGCAATTTAGTTTTGAGCTTTTTCTATTCTTGAGTCATGGAATTTTATTAGAGAATAATATTTTATATGGTATGGGTCCTTTCCCAAATGTACAATTCCCATCAATGTACAATTAGTGTAGCACAACATACCTATAATAACATGTCAAGTATTGAGACTGCAGGACACTGAGGGAATCATTTTGTGTCTTCTGTCATTTTTAAATCTATTAATCATTTTTAAAATGTTTAAAATGATACTTTTTCTTCAATTTTTCTTAATGTGTAATGCTGTTGAAATATAGTAATGCCCACATCTGTTATAAGGAAGTTCTTTTATGTATTGCGGTTATTGCTTGCAATAATAATTATAATATATGGATTATCTTAAATATTTGGATAAAAATGTGCCACACTTTCACTGTAACAGTCCCATCAATTTCTGAGGTTCTACTGAATGCTATGTTAATTTCAGAAGTGATCAGGGATCCAGGGTGGTGTGTTTGTAGACTAATTTCTAAAATAATTTTGGTTGCTAACAGCTTTATTGTTGATCTTGATACTGGAACTTCCCCTTTGAGAGCTGTACGTGTGCTCAGGCTCTGTCCAAACCAAACAAGACCTGTGATTATTTAAAGAAGGTACTTTGACTCCACAGTCCATTCATCCTTTTCACATACAAAAATAACACATTGTTTTATCTGAGTATAAGAATCCTTTTTCAAAGGAAATAAAAAGAGCAGACAGTTTCCTTCCTGGCTAATTCCTGAACCTCTTTAACTCTGTTAAACATAGCCACAGACACAACTTGTATGCCTGGTTTCATTTCCTAAACTCAGTTAGACAAGATAGGTCAAAGTGAAGAGTCCATATGCATCTAATAGAAGATCACGTCTAAACCTAGAGAATGTTTCACAGCTACCAGGCTGACTTTAGAGCAAGAATCCAATCTTACTGTAAAATTACCAAGCAGATAACTACATTCAACTGTTCTGAACAGCATCCCAGGATCAGATTTCTTTTTTTTTTTTGGTACCAGGGATCGAACTCAGGTCCTTGCGCTTGCGCAGCAGGCAGCGAAACCACTGAGCTAAATCCCTGGCCCAGGATCAGATTTCTTTAGTGAGCTGAAAGTAATTCAGTTCAAGATAACACACCTAAGATATATATGCAAGTTTTTCTACAATCCACACAATATCAACTTGCACAAATTCTCCTTATTCAAATTATATCTTCACATGGGGCTGAAACTTGTATCCTGGAAACTTTACTACTATTTCCCTTCTTAGGTTCTGGTTATCTTTTTAGGTGTGACAAAAAGTGAGTTAAACGCCTCACTGTCAGAAAGCTCCTTAAGTATTTGAAGCAAACAGTTACATTTCCCGTGTTATCTATTTTCTAAGCCAAATATCCTAAATTTTCACATTATTCATCGGCCTGTTCCAAATAAATGGCTCCGTTTATTTATTCTTCTTTTAAAATAGGCAGAAGATCTCAGGTGTGTTTTGATGGTTTCAGATAAGGTGATCTAGTTTCTCAGGTAACTATATTTTTTTGAGCAAAAAGGTTGGATATGGCCATTGCTCCGAGAGCTGGGGAAGCAATTATAAAAGAGATAACGTGGGAGAAGGCCAGATCAATGACATATATAGGAGAAGAGCCCATGAGTCAGAAGTATCAGTTCCTCAGAAAATCCAATGCCTAACCAGTTGTAACCTAACTAGTTTTGTTATTGCCAAGAGGGATGTACTAAAAAAACAAAACACAATGGTAAGCACAGCTTCCAAGAGACATATCAAGCACTGTGGGAGCATAGAGATAAAAAAATCTTGACATCAGTTCAGCAATAGAGAAAGTGACACCAGAGTGTGTCTTGAAAGATGAGTAGGATTGTGTCGGGGGAGAACAAGTTGTAAACAGATGTGGAAATGCAGAGTCCATAAGGAGCTTGAGTGTGTTCAGGGACTCTCACATAGCTTTAACCTGGGGGGCTGGGGAGGAGCGGGTGAGGGTGAGAGGTGAGGCTGAGAAGGAGCCCTTGGAGTCCAATCAAGCACAGTATGCCTGGAGGAGGACAGTGGGCGATCGGAAGCCACTGTGATATTCTAAACTGGGAAATGACAGTTGGAAAATATCACTTTAGATTGGGAAGTGGATTGCTAGAGGTGAGAGAAGTAGGTAGGTGGGTTAGGAGGCTGAAAAATGATGGCAAGAGATGATAAAGGTCACAACATTGGCAATGGCAGCCAACATGGGCACTTCAAGTGAAAACTCTTCTCTTTCCTCAGGAGTAAAGAATAGAGGCTGCTAGAAATTTCTAGAAATTATCAGTGATGCAGTATTCTTGAAATAGTCAGACATCTCAGAAGAGCATAACACCAGTTGAAAAAGATACCAGTGTAAGGAATTAAGAAGTATGTAGTGAGAAAATCAAAATGGCAGGATAACTGAAAGTGTCAAAGCTGCTTGTTTTGTCCTGGGACCTTGCAGAGAGCTGCCTTCTCAGGAATGAGAGAGTGGCAGAAGGGTGGGGTTCTTTGGAGGCTTACATGGACATGGACACAAGTCTCAGACCCACCATGTGTTTACTGTGTGACTTTGGGCAGGTTATTTAACCTCTCTGAGTCTCCCTCTTTTCATCTGTAGATTGAGCAAAACACTATTTACTTCTTTGGATTCTTGCAAGGGTAATAGCATCAAGTCTAGTTAGTCTTTGGTCTCTGAAGAGAATTGGCTCCAGGACCCCCAAGTCTGAGGATGTTCGAGGCTCTTTTATAAAATGGGGTAGTATTTGCATAGAACCTGTGCACATCTTCCTGCATAGTCTAAATCATCTCTAAGTTACTTATAATACCCAACACAATGTAAATGTTATAAAAATAGTCATTATACCATATTGTTTAGGGAATAATGACAAGAAAAAAAATCTGTGTATGTTCAGAACAGATGCAGTTTTTTTTGTTCTGCATATTTTTGACCTACAGTTGGTTGAATCTGGGGATTCAGATCCCGTGGCTCTTTCCCATCATTAAAAAACAGGAGCAACCATTTGAGGAAGATGTTCAAGAGAAATAGATATTTAATAAACTTTTCTCTGCATGAGCAGGAGAGTTGAAAGAGTATTTTAAAACAGGAATCATTTGCGAAACAAACAGGACCATTCTAAGGGTATTTGGGGACTCTCACTTTTTCTGGAAATATAAATTTGTGGTAATTTCAGTTTTAGGAAAATCTAAATTACCTCCTTGTAAATGAATGGAGGTGGTAATTCTGTTTTAAAGGAGTCTGAATTCTCATAGTGATAATCTTTAAGCAATGTAAATTTCCAAGGCAAAATAATTAAAGTAAATTACCTTTTTCCTGGTTCTTCCTCAGAAGTATTTGCATGTTCTGGGGTTATTTTGCTTGTTCATTTTCTTGTTTTTTGTTTTGTTTTGGTGGTGCTGAGGATTGAACGCAAAGCCTTGCAAATGCTCTACTGCTGACCACATTCTCCAGCTCAGGACTTGCATATTTTGATAGAGTGATACCTTGGTTATTGAACTCAGTTTGTTCCAAATTCATGTTCTAACACTGAAAAGTTCAAGAACTGAACATATTTTCTCATATGAAAAATGGAAAACCAAATAATTGGTTCTGAGGCCCCAAAATTAAACTTATAAATTCATTTTTTTCAGGGCTTTAACAAATTTTGAAGTGATTTAACTGTATCATGATTATCACAGTTTTCCTCTTAGAGCTTTACTGCTGGTATCACTAACTTTCTTTGGAGCCATGGTTACGATATTTTATGCAAATGAAATACAAAAAGAGTATAATGATAAATGTTTTAATGCACTAACACAAGCACTGTGTTGTCTTGGTGAGAGCAGCACTTAGCTTGAAGCATCACTCCTTTGTGTCACTGCAAGGTGTGACTTGTGACTCATTCTCAGCCTGAGCAGGTTTTTTCAAGTCAGATTTTTGGTTGACTATGGAGCAAAGTTGCGAACACCAAGCAGATATTTTTTGAATAGTAGAAAGCTCAAGTTTTGAGCTGATCGACAACTGAGGGATCACTGTACGCTGGTGAACATTTGGGAATAGGCTACTGAATACCTTACCTCTTTTCATGTCAAACCTCAATATGCCATTGACATTGATATCTGAGAGGTGCCAATTTGTTACTTTATGACACTGTAAATTTTATGTTTTAGATGATTCTAGTACTGGGGATTGAAACTGAGCTCTAACTTATTTTCCAAATGGAAGCCACGTGGGCATAATCAAGGTTAGATTAGGCCTTTTTGTATTTTGCTGCTCAACCAACTGAGGCCTAGAAGGAGGAAGCACTTTGAATATTTTTCTTAAATGTGGTTTATTATGTGTTGCTTCTCTCTGATAATATTTTTTACCTATTCATAGTAAAAACTAGCTTAGGAAAACATTGAGAAAATCAGCATATGTCTAACTTCTAGGAATCAGAAAGGAAAAAAATGAACAGATCCAAGGGTGTGGGTTCCTCTCTCCTTGCCCACACTCCCCCCCCCCCCGCAACCCCTGCCTTTTCTTTCTTCTTGGACTTATTTCTCACAGGTGTGAACCTCTGGGGCCATTCTCTGTGGGTCACTGTAATCATACTGTCAGCAGCGGGGGTTCTTTTCCTCTAGGAATGACTTCCCTGCAGAGCCTGTGCAGATACTGGGCTCCCAAGGATGGCCAGCCAGTCTTCACCTGCTGCCTTGCCTGACAGAACCAGACAGCCCTTCCTGGAGGGGCAGTGAAACATGGGAGGGGGTTGGGGAGAGGAACACGCTGGCCAGGTGGCAGGAGAATGGGAGGTGGGAAGTTAAACAAATAGGAAAATAGGTGTCTGAACAGCTTCTTGTTGCTTTCCTACACAGCTGTTTACCTTGCACAGTGAGGTATGCTGAACTTTCCATGGCCCCCTTCTGGTTGGTGGCTTTGCACTGATAGACACCTTCATCCTCTTCTGTGACTCTTTCAATAAACAGTGTGCTGTTTCCTGGTCCTAAAATAATTCCTGAGGAGTGAGAGATGTTTAGATTAGTGAACCTGAATGACAAATAAAAACAGCTACTTCTGTAATCTAAGTGTCTTCCTATCCTTATGTATCCAGACAAGGAAATCTAAGCTCCTGTTGGGGTGGACTGTGAGTTCTCTTTCTCCAGGCTTTTCACTGACAGCTGCACAGCCCAGCAGAGCTGTGATCTCCAGCTTTGGAGATGCAGACATCCCACTCAGTAAAGAACCATGAGGGGAGCTGCCAAACCCAGGGTTTAAAGTTGTGATATCAAGAAGGTAGCATATCTAATAATAAAAACCACATGTACTCCATATCCACTGTGTGCTAAGCACCCTGCAGCACACCATTCACACACTGACCACCACCAGTCAGGTATTGTTTTCCTTATACAAAGGAAAAAACTGAGATCCCCCTCAACGGTTCAGGCATTTGACCAAGAACTTGCAGTTTAATCAGAAACACATTTGTGGCATATGGGTCAAAGGAAATGATGTGATTTGTCACATAGCCTGACGCATGGTATGGTATAGTGGCAAAGAGCTTGGGCTATGTTTGAATCCAGGCCTTACCATTGTAGTCTTTGTCACTTAAGGCAAGTTACTTAACCTTTCTAAGTTTCCGTTTCTTCAACCATAAGATAAAAATAAAAGCAGTTCCTGTATAATAACTGTGAAAATGAATGGCAGGTACATGGCAAATAGTAAACGTATTTAGTAATAAAGAGCGTGGTATAACGGAGGAAACACTATGAATTTTCAGAACCCTAAAAGGCCTAAAGACCTAGTGGGTTTCCCACTTGGTACTATCACCAAGTGTTTATTGAGTATTTCCACAGCCATCAATGTGTGCTGGAGACTTTGTGCAGCAGACTAAGACATGGCATCTGCTAAAGAGAGCAAATTAATTTACACTTCCCTTTCTCTCTGTCTTTCATTCATATTCGTAGACACATACATAAACCATATAGAACATACTTAATGAATGAGAATGAATAAATGTTTGAACAATATACCCAGCTAAGTGCACAGTCTGGGGAAGGGAAGGAGATCAGCGAGAATGGATGTACTCAAGGAAGGCCGATGGAGGAGATGGGCCTTGGATGAGAGTTGAAGGGTTAGCAGAGGTGCAGTGAGAAAGAAGGGCTTGAAAAAAGGCATGATATCAAAATGAACATGCATTGAGGGTTTGTTCTGAGACAGTAACAAAAATGGGCCTGACCAGGGAATAGTCTATACTTTGTAATTTTAAATAGTTTATATTTCCATGATTACAAAAGATATAACTAATATAGAAACTTTGAGAAATATTTGAAAGCATAAAATATGTTTTAAAAAAGACCAACAAAACACAATTTTATCTCCTCCTAGATGTTTTTCCTTTAATCTTATTTTTGTGAACTTTTACATAATTTGTTCCTCATGTAACAAATATTTTTGAGCTCCTTATATGTATTAGACACTATTCTAGATGCTGGTGATAATAAGCAGGCAAATAAAATTTTTTTGCCTGCAAAGAGTTTAAATTCTAGTTTTGGAGAATTATAAAAAATAACATAATTGCAGGTAGCAATAAAATCTATGAAGAAAATAAATCAAGTTGAAGATTGTGGGAAGGAATGAGCTGTCTGAAGTCCTGGAAAATAGCATTTTAGGCACAGGGAGTAGCAAATATATGGCCTCTGAAGACAGAAATGAGCTTAAGAAACAGGAAAAAGGCCACTGTGGTGAGGCAAAATAAGCCAGCAGAAGAGATGAGAACTAGGGTTGGAAATACAGCTCAGCGGAGGCCTTGGGTTTAAGCCCAGGACTTCAGGGAAAAAGAAAAAGGAACAAGACAGGGTCCAGGTCATGTATAACCCTGGAGGCCATAGTAAGGACTTAAGATTCTATTCTAAGTGCAGTCTAAAGTCATTGGAGGTTTGTAAAACTCGGCAGGAAGCAGGTTGGAAAGTAAGTACTTGGCTACTGAATGTCCAATGAAAGACATGGTGGTTTGGACTGCAGTGACTGTGTTGCAAGCAGTAAGATGTGGTGCTTTGGGGGATTTGTTTGAAGGCAGCATCAGTCAGCTTGCTTATGAGCAGTGTGTGAAATGTAAGAAAAAGTTGTAAAAGATTGACTTCCAGAGTACTGGTTTGAACAGGTGGGAGAATGATGACATCTTTCCTGTGATGGAAAGGATTGGAGTGAGGAGGTTTCAGAGAGAGAGAGAGACAGAGAGAGAGAGAGAGAGAGAGAGTGAATATCAAGTTTTGATCCATTCGACACACCATAAACTTGAGATGGCTGCTGCACATCCAAAGTTAAGTTTCACCAGGAGCTCAAAGAAGAGGTCAGGATGAGAGTCAACTGCAGAATTAGGATAGGGAAGGCAGGGAAAGTCACAGGCACAGAGACAGGTGCCACAGGCAGGAAACAGAGGGAAAGGAGTGAAGTCTGAAGGCTGAGCCCTGAGTATTTGGAGTAAGAAGAGGAAGGAGTCACAGAGTAGGAGGAGGATCTCAGGAGGTGGCAAGAAAACCAGTAGAGTGAGGTTCCTAGACCCCAAGGAAAGAAGAGAACAGTCAGCTCTGTTCCGTGCTGCTGAGAGTCTACAAGGAAAGCACCCAACTACCCACTGGATTTGACAGTGAGCCATTTCAGTGACGTGAGGGAGAAAAGCCCGACCAGGGTCACAGCAAAGAGTAGGGGACCAAATGGAGATGGTGGCAGTGGGGGGGTTGCTTTATGGAGATGGCTGGAGAAGAGCAAGAAAATAATTATTTTGTAAGATGTAGAATTTTATAGCATGCTTATGTGCTAACAGAAATACTCTGGAAGAAAAGGAGGTCAATGGTGCCGGGGACAGAAGAAATAATGCCAAGAGCAGAATCCTGAAGTGAGAGGGATGGAATCAGTGGCCAAGTTGACTTTGGATAGGAACAGGGACACTTAGTTCATTTTAATAGGAAGGATGAGAGTGGAAGGAATAAGTAGAGAAGAAAATTTGATGATATATTTTCTCAATAAACCAGAGCTACCCATCTGCTAAAGGGAGGAAGAAAAAGAAATTTTGGAGTTTTGAAGAAAGGAAAAAAGTGTGAAGTAATGTTTTTGGGAAAGAAAACAAAATCACTAGTGAACAATGATTAAGATTTCTCCTAAACGTTATACAACTTTAAATACTGCTTTCCCTTTAATAAATATTGTAAATATCTTCCACATCCATACGTATATTTAATACAGTCATCCATCATATATGCCTATAATAGCTTTGAATCATTTCCTATTGAGTGGCATTAGGCATATCTAATAATTTATAACTATAATAATAGTACAATTAACATCTTTAGGCATAAAGAATTTTCTGTATTTCAGATTATTTCCTTAGGATAGATTCCCACAAAGAGTTCTAGGTCAAACACACTTGACCCATATAACCAAATTGCCTTCCAAAACATTAGACCTGCCAAAACTTCTACTAGGAGTGGATAAGAGACTGTTTTATTTCTATCTTAAACAGTATCATTTAAAAAGTAAAAACCATAAAACTTCAGTGATTTGATAGCTGAAATGACTGTTGTTTTAATGTGCATCTTTTGGACATTTCTATTTCCAAATCACCTGCTTTGAGTGTTAACTGGAAAAGGTGAGTTCAGATTAAGGAGAACTTTGAAATCTCGGTTGAGGGAAGAGAGTCAGGAAGATTTTTTGAGCCGGGAAATGACATAATGGAAGTGGTGTTTAGGGAAGTTTAGTCTACAAGGAGACTGCAGGATGGACTGGAAGAAAAGAGTGGCAACTGGAAGTCCGGCTCCCCAGTTGCAATTCAGGTCATCAAACCTGGATGGTGGGAAAGGAAATGGAGAGGAAGAAATGGAAGCACACTTTGTAGAAACATCCTATAGCAATTGATGCTTTACTGGATACAGGAGTAGAGATGAGTCCAAGGTGAGTCCAATATCTTAAGCCCAGGTAACAGGAAAGAAGGAACGCTACCTCTTAAAACTTTGACGAAGTCATCAAATCTCTTTGGAACTGTTTACCCACTGTGAAATGAGAATAATACTTGCTCTGCCTATTACTGTGAGAAGCAACCGAGATAATTTAAATGAAAGCTTTGAAATTTTGAAAAGTGTATGATATAGTATATATGACAAACAGAAAATAAATTAAGTACTGATATATAGTGGGCAAGTGAGGGTCAGTGTGCTACCTTGTTACTTATCATCTGTTCCGCACCACTCTGTCACTCAGATCCCAATTTAACACCATGGATAAAGTCAAAGGATTTGAAGTTACTATCCTTAGGGTTTTTTGTAATGTTTTGTTTTTTGAGATAGAGACTTCCTATGTTGCCCAGGCTGGCCTCAAACCTCTCTTATCTCAACATTACTCTTATTGTTTTCTTTCCCATTGCTCAAATAATCTTCTCCTATATTTGTGATGCTGGAGATCGATCCAAAGGCCTTGTGCATGCTACTATATCCTCAGCTCAACAGCCCTCAAATTATGCCCATACTTAATTTGTGTACAAGTTTCTATAATGCTAATGTTTCTATAACTTGTTGGTCCTCAGTTTATATGACCAGTCCTTATTATATAGGCCCTGTTCTGTTGAGGAACACATCTTTTAACAAAGGTCCTATTTAAGGTTAATTTTAATTCTTTCATTGTGTTGACATTTTGCCACATTTGCTTTAGATTTCTCTCTCTCCCTCTCCTTCTCTCTTTCTCATGAAATAAAATCTATAAATACTTTTATTTGTCGTTCTTGGAATTGAACCCAGGGCCTTCACACCGAGCTACACCTCCAACTTTTTTCAATTTTATTTTTATTTTGGGACAACGGTCTTGCTTCGTTGCTGAGTTGCCCAGACTGGGCTTGAGTGTGTAATCCTCCTGCTTTAGCCTCCCAGAGTGCTGGGATTACAGGCATACACCACCATGCCCTGCTAAAATCTATAGATACTTTTGTCCTGTCCTTCACCTTTTCTGTCCAGAGGCGTTACTATCCTG